TGGTTCGTAACTGAAAGGCACAGAAGGCAAAACTGGACGCAGCTCTTTCACACCTGGCTTGCAGCTCCCTGCTTTCCCAGGCCTGGCTTCTTCACCCCCAGCCCTGCCACTCTGGGCCCCATCGCCATCCCCAAAGGCCTCAAAGCTTCCAAGGGTGACAGGCACACAAGGGAGGAGGCTACAAGCAGACATACCTGATGTCCCTTCGTTTGAATCAAGTCAGAAACACAGAACGTCACACCAGAGAGAGGCTGCTCCACTAGGTTTGCCTCTCCTCAGTCCCAAAAGACACGACACACAATTTCATGTCGTGTTGTTTGGCTGCAGCCAAATGGGGCAAGCCCAACCCTCCCACAGCACGCCGCTCTCTGCAGCATGCCTCCGCTGCCTTTTTCAGTAGGGTTAACGTGTTTGATTGCACATTCAGCCAGAAAACAATGCAGCCACAGGCACTGGTGGTAGGAACGAGTGAGCTGCACTGGCCTTGCTGGGGACAGGGGTCTCAGAGGTATTTACGGCACTTGCTGAACGGCACTAGCAACACGTTACCTAGCATATTTCCAGTAGCATGTTTATAAATGCTTGCTCTTAAAGACAGGGCTTAGCACCTCTGAAATGTTACCAAAAAAAAAAAAAAAAGTAATTTTGATATCAAGTCTTAGGGCTCCACACTAAGGCTTGCATAAACAACTACCTTTTTGCAGAACTTGGTACATACATACTGGCCGCTCAAAACACTAGCACAGGTTTCATCAGGCATGAGGTGGGCGCTGCTGTAACTGCTTCTGCACCAGTGAGAAGCATCGGTGCCTGAGGAGCACCGCTAAGCTCACGTTCATTCAGGAAACGAGGGCATTTTTCAAGACGTTTTTTATTCACGAGCAGACACACAAGCAGTCACAAAGCATCCCGTTCCTTTCAGGTCAGCGCCTCCCTTGTTCAAGTGCTCCATTCCTGGGGCCGAAGGGACTCGCACCTTGGAAGGAGGGCACCAGCCAGAGGCCCCGCGACCCGTCGAGGCAAGACTGGTCCCCGGTCTCAGGAGGTCGCCACTCCGCCGGTCCCGGCCCCGTGCGGCGGCAGCGTCATGGGCGGCAGGAACATGGCCTTGAGCTTGCCCGACATGCTGGCGATCTCCGGGTCCTGCGACTCGTAGGACTTGATCAGCCGGGCGAACTTCAGGACCCCTGCAAGACAGCGGGTGGGAAGGAGGCACCCACCCGCCGCTGCCCCCTCGGAGGGCCCGAAGCTCCCCACCCGGCGGGGAACAACCCACCTTCGCCATCGCTGCTGAAGCCGTAGGCTTTGATCACGTCCTGCTGGATCTGGGTGGCCACGGGCAGAAGGAACTGCAGCATCTTGCCCATGTCGTTGCAGGCGTTGTCCCGAGCTTCCTCCATGCGCTGCGCGTTCTCGGTCGCCCCGAAGGCCTTGATCACCTCCGACAGCACCGCTGCGGGAGACAGGGA